CCCTTGGGGCCGCGGCCTCCTCCCCGCTGCCTGCCTGCGGTGGTGACCTGGGGACCCTGCGGAAGCTCAGGTTCTCCGTCCGCCCGTCTGTCCATCCGCAGCGGGCGGCCTCAGGGGTCCGCGCACAGTGGGTGCCGGCAAGGAGGAGGCAGCCAGGCAGCGAAGGAGGAAGCGGGGTGGCCCTTCGGGGCGGGAGGAGTCTGTCCACTTGGTGCCCTCCCCAGACAGCCCGGCTGGGCCGCGCAGCCCAGTGGGCAGCACCCGGAGGTGCCTGAGGCCCTGGCACCTTCCCAGCTTCAAAGAGAAAAGAAGGAAAAAGCGGGGAGTCGGGTGTGCTGGAGGGGGATGCTGGGAACCACAGGCAGGGTCCTCAGAGGCTCTCCCCGGACCTGCCTCTGGCCTCTGTGCGGTGCAACTGGTCCCCGGAGGCTTCTCCAGTCACCCAGCGCCCGGGCTGGTGGCAGCAGAGGCCTGTGACCCTGACCCAGAGCCAGGCCTCCTCCCTGAGCTCTGCGCTGAAGTCCTCTTCCTGCTGCTACTCTGTGACACCCCTGCTCCTCAGCCTCCGGTCCTTTTATTTCTCTCTGTCTCTCCCGTGAGCCCCAGGCCTCCCCATGGCTTATAGTGAGTTCCAGCCAAGTGAGCTTTGTCTTTTGCTTTCTGGGTTTTCTGCTTGTTTTTGGAGACAGGATCTCACTATGGAGCCCAGGCGATCCTCCTGCCTCAGCCTCTGGAGTGCTGAGATGACCAGGTGGTCTTTGGTCACATTCCCTGAGGTGAGGCTCTCAGCCTCCTCCCCCCTGTGCCAGCGAGGAGCCTCCTTCTTCCTCCCAGACACACCTGGCTTCTCTGGAGCTGACCTATCCCGGCCCACGGGCAGGGGACACTGAGGCACATGTCTGGGCCTTGACTTCCGGCTGTCCCTAATGCCAGGAGATGCATGCGGGAGCAAATGCTTGGCTTTGTTCTCAGGCCCGAAGCCATGCAAATACTCCAATGCTGGAGGGAACAAAGAAAATACCGTCTGTTCCGTTCAGAGAGTGACTTCCTTCTTACCAACAGCATAATTAAAGGGAGAAGCAGTGTCCGGGACAGGTACTGGCAGGGCCAGTGCTTTTGCAAGCTGCTCGCCTCTGCCAAGTGCTGGCTGGCAGCAGAGTTGGGGCCATGTGGCTACTCTGGGGGGGTGATCAGGCGAGGGGCCCAAGAAGACTCCGCTCCTTGTATGGGCAGAAGCAAGAATGGGAGCAGAGTGGAGAGTTGCACTGCTGCCCTGGGCCCCTCACGGAGCTCCAGGGCGGAGGGGGGCAGGGCTCGCCTGGAGCACACCAGACCTGAAGCTGTTTCAGTGTTCTTGCCTGGAGAATGTGCGGACAACTCAGGGCTGGTGGCCAGGAAATGTGGGGAATCTGGTGGCCACCACCCCAAGGCAGCTGACTAATGGGACAGTTTTCCTCAGTGATTAGACTCGCTGGCCAAGACCTGCATCTTCCTCCAGGGGGCGAGGGAATGAGCTAGCTGTTGCAGGAGGGGCACAGTGGGCCAAACAGCTCTTGCAGGACAAAGCAAACTCAGTGAGGAAAGCACAGGGCTGCCATGGCAGGGCTGGGCCCAGCTGTCGGGCACGGCCTCCCAGAGGATCTGATTCTAGACCAGTTCCCTCTCACCAAAAGAGCAGATCCCAGGCCCCAGCCAGGGGAAAGCCCAGCCCCCAGAGCCAGAGCCACGCCTGCCAGCACCTCCTCCTACTGCTGTGCAACCCCAAGATCTCACTTTCCCACTCGGGGCCTCACTTTCCCCATCCACACGCAGATGGTGACTACTTTAAAGGGGTGATGTTGAGGGCCGGGGATTTAGCTCAGCGGTTCGGTGGCCTGCCTCGCAAGTGCAAGGACCCGAGTTCAATCCCCGGTACCAAAAAATAAATAAAAATAAAATAAAAGGGTGATGTTGTAATGTTACACTTATTTAAAATGGGCGTGGTGGAGCATCTCTGGGATGGCTGAGGAAAGATCGAAAGTTCCAACCCAGTCTGGGAAACTTAGTGACTTAGCAAGACCCTGTCTGGAAATTTAAAAAAAAACACCAATAAATAAATTTGTGAAATAGGGTTTGATCCTGAATCGTATCTTTTCCTATGGTACTAGAAATGAAATGCAGCACTGAGCCACACCCCAGTTTCTTCAGCCAGATTTTAAATTTAAAATTTTTTTGGTATGGGAGTTTGAATTCGGGGACCTTGCACTTACAAGGCAGGCGGCAGAACCACTGAGCTAAATCCCCAGCCCATGGCCAGATTTTTCATTTTGTTTTTTGTTGTTGTTTTTCTTTTTCTTAGACAACATCTCACCATGTAGCCCAGGCTGTCATCGAACTCGTGGGGATCTTCCTGCCTCAGCCTCCTTAGTTCTGGGATTACAGCCACCACATCTGGCTTACTGAGACAAATTCTTAAGATTTTCTTTTTCAAGAGTTTGAAGGACCCCAGTCAACCATGAGTTCCCAGAAATGGCTCCAACTCGGCATGACAGCCTCAATCTTTAGCTTGTGCTCCTTTAGCCATCTTCTTCCCTCTCCCCTTTCCCCTAGCCATAGCTTAGTTCGACTAGATGCCAAACCTTAGTTTCTTGAAAAACTCCTATTCAACTCTCAAAACCCCACTTGCAGTGCCCTCCTCTGCAGAGGCCCTCCCTCCTCTTCCTCTGGACCATACATGTCTCCTTCCCTTCTATTCTAGCCCTAAATGTCACAGGACTGGGAGTGTCTGTGTCCAGCTCTAGCTCCCAGAGCCTGAGTTCATCTCAGGACACAGGGGAGCACAGCGGGACTGGGGAAAGGAAGTATGGTGACTGTAGTTCCAGTGATTTCACGTCACTCGGGGAGACCCTGTTTGAAATCCAGAGCATGGCTGAAATGGTGCTCTGAGAAGGAACATAGGGGCAACAGGGGACCAGGCACAAGGCTCAGGCTGGAGCCAGGACGGGGGGCTGTGCGCAGAGCACTGAGGCTGGCCCGGAGTTTGGCTCCCGCAGACCTAATTGCCCTAATTCGAGGTGCGCACTAATTACCTCCTGGGTGCCAGGTGGCGGGGCGGGGTGGCCCATTTTCAGGAGCTAGGTCGCCCAGGTATTTTTGGAACCACCGTTCTTGAGGGCTCTGACATGCACCGCGTGAAGGGCAGAAAATGGGGCGGAGAAATCGCGGCCACATCAGGAGGGATGTGGGGATCCGGGCCTCAGGGGGCCTGGGGGGAGGGCTCGGGGCCGGGCCCAAAGGCTCCAGCTGGAGGACTGGGGTTTGGGGCAGTGAGATCTGTGGGGGCGGCTGGCCACTTGGAGTCTCAGTCCCCATTGGTCTCAAAGTCTGTTTTCTGTTTGTTTTTGATTTTTGGAGACAGGGTCTCACTATGTAGCCCAGGCGGGGCTCCAACTTGCACTGATCCTCCTGCCTCAGCCTCCTGAGTGCTGGGATGACAGGTGTGTACCACACGGTTGGTGGCGACCAGACGGGGAGGTTTGCATGGACAGCTTGCTGAGGGATCCTGCACATGTGACCTGTCATGACCTCTTTTCCTTTTCCTGAGCCATGAAAGAAGTGCATGATTCACAGGGGTGCGCTGGGCAGTGGGCACCGCGAGTGCAAAGGTCCTGAGGTCGGGGCAGGCAGGAGCTGTT